TTCTTAGTGGTTAATAATAAATAAACCTAAATTTGAATCAAATTTATGATCAAGTTATTTGGTCAATAGATTTCCCTAACAAATCATGACCAATTCATGATCAAGTTAAGAACGAAATTACAAATAGGAAGCGCAATACTCTTAAAAAAATTAGTCATTTTCAAATTTCATATATGGATGACCAAACACAAATCATAATGGCAATCATGGTGCTTGACATGTTAATTCATGTTTATCGTACAACATCTTATCCCGACCATTGTTAGAACATCAATCATTACTTGCAAAGATGAACAGTTCATGTAATTTGAATCTTAAGCTCATCTTGGAAGAAAAAAAGAAAAAAAGAAAAAAAAAAGAAAAAAAGAAAAGAAAAAAGGAACGTGGAACACAAACTCTGTTGAAAAACAAGCCCACATACATTAAATATGGTAGGGCTGTTGTTGAGAGTGTTTATTTCAATGTTGCATGGTTGTTGAGGACACAAAAACCTACACAAGTTCAAGTACATACATACGCCACTATCAAACTGACATTTTTCTGGTCTCTATGTTTTGTTGTTTCCCATCTCACTTCCTATAGGGCTCAGTCAAGGGTTAAAAACAGATTCACCTTCATTATTTGTATGGATGTGGTAATCACACAAATGGATTACGGAAGCAAGAAATCTCAAATGGATTGAGTTGTGCGACTAGATACAAGTCATGATGCGAGAGTAGTCATATGATTCCATAATTCCATTTTGGAGAAGTACCAATTACACCGAGACATTTTGAGATAAAAACCCACAACTGGATTGGTCCATTGGGCCATTGTAGTATGTAACCATTTATTCTTGGTCAAAAGTCACTTTTGATTCATGTAGTTTCAATTCGATCAATTGTGCCATTGTAGTTTCGTAATTGTAGCAATTGAAGGACAATTTCTTTCACGGGATCAGAGGTATTTTCGTCCATTTATGCCATTTAAAAGTCATAGCCAAGTAGAAACTCTCTATTTCATGTTAGGGTGTGAAAATGGGAATTTTGATTTAGGGCTTTTCCAAAACTTGGGTTCATGTTGTAAGATTTGGGGAAATTTGTCGAGGGCTTGGATTGAGTACAACCTACGAGTGAGATAAATGTAAAAAATGGATGGGAATATCCCTAGCTCCGTGAAAGAAATTGACGAAATTTGCGACTTATCCTTCAGTTACTACAATTATGAAACTACAAAGACACAATTGACCAAATTAAAACTACAGAGACCAAAAATGAAACAAAGGCAAACTACAGGGATCAAAAGTCACCTTTTGCTTTGCTCAAAAACAAATTCTGTTGAGGTATAATAGAACCACCAGTTGAAATTAAAAAGTTTTGAAGGGCATTGAATATGAAAATATGGACCACAGTCCAACAGCCATAGGCTCTGTTTCAAGTCAACTTGCACAAAGCTTAAAAGCAATTAATTTCCTTTGGAGGCACTAATAAAAGGCATGGCTCAAGCCCTGCCATGGCCTCAGCAACTGGGGTACTGGTCAAGTATTTTCTCAATTGAATTACAATAAGCTCCTACGAAACCATTAACGCTTTATATATTAAATGATTGTCATTAACTGTAAGTTACTACATGAATCAAATGAATTATTTGTACAATTGTGGCTGATGACATGAACAAGACCAACATAGAGTCCAAGTTTTTTGCAGACCTAGACGCCGACCGATGGACAAAAACTATTCAATAATGCTAGAACATCAACTTTCATTACCAAATAATGCGACAATTTTTTATCTCGTTTGAGTGTTTTGGGTCTTTTTAATGGGATTTTTGAGTTGGAATTGTTTTAAGAAATTGTAGGGGCGGGAGAAGTGGTGGACCAATCTTGTGGAAGATGTACGGCGTTTGTTGGTGACTTGTGAGGTGTTGGAAGTGATCCACCAGCCGCGGTTTGTGTGGGTAGACGCTGCTCCACCTTGATTGGCGTTTACATTAGCTTTGGATAGGGTTGAGGTTTGAATTTTTTTGGTTTTACGGAAGGCGTTGTGGCACTCTTTTTCTTTAACCAGATTTTCCCCTTTAGGGTTTTATAGCAAGGTTTTAATGAGGCCACATATAGCTCCTTCCCCTATTGATTACTTGGGTTGTATGTCTGTTTTTAGTTGCTAATGAAATTCCTCTTTTGATTAAAAGAAAAAAAGAAAAAAAAATGATGGTAGTTTGTAATTTATAGGAAGTTCAAATCCTCTTCGTTATATTATAAATGGGCTTTGGGTGCATTTCTAAAGTCCATTTCATGTAAGGTTTTTATATAATTTGGATTCCTAAATTGGGTATAATCGTGAATCTCCCAAAAATTAATTGCGTTTTGATTCTTGCTGGGTCTGACTTGACAGTGATAAATCAGAAAACCTTTTCTTCATTAATTTAATTTGGGTAGGGGTTCAGAAAAGCCTGAATGATAGAGAGACTAAGAAAGCTAGTATGGGCCCAAACTAAAATTTTGAACTTATGGACCAAAACACATAATGATGCCTGGGTTGGGCCTGCCTGTATATATGCTGTAAATTTAATCAACGGCTGTGAAGTCGCTTCTGTGTTCTAATGCTGGATCATCCACGGCCAATGAACCCCACCACTTAGATCTCTTGCAAGACATAAAGATAAGATTAGCCGTTGATCTGATCACAACCACTCATTGTTGGTGTTAGATTGCTTTCCATTTGCTTAATCCAATCGTATAAAGTACATATTCTTTTCATGTGAATGGAGGCACAAAGTAAAACAATTAAAAAATAATATCAAGAAAAGGACCCACTAGTGTAGTGGTTTGAAATAATTACTTCCTTATGCAAAATTTTGGGTTCGAATTCTAGCATCCGTGTAGTATGTGTGAGTTCACATCTTGAATAGAAATCTGACTCATCTACTGGTAGACCACATCTTGAATAGAAATGTGAATCATCAAATTAAGTGAATATCACAATTATTAAAGATGGAATATGAAATGTGAATTGAATACGAAAAAGACTATTATTTACAATATTTACTGATCACGTTATAGTCAGATTTTCAACTCATTTTTTAAATTTAGTTCTTTCAATTCAGAAATCTAACTCATCTACTGGTAAACCACATCTTGAATGAAAGTGTGAATCATCAAATTAAGTGAACATCACATTTATTAAAGATGGAATATGAAATGTGAATACGAAGAATCAAAGTTATGCTATTGTTTTTCAACAAAAGACATGTTTATGGCATATTTTTATGTGTAACATTGTCCTTTGGTTTCCCAAACTTTTGTTCTTTTTAGCGATGAGGGAAAATGCTTAAAGTCTCAACTTCTATTTCCAAACTTATTTCACACTTGATGTGCACAACGTATAATTACATTGGAAACCAACCATGATAGAAATTTTAACAGGACAATATCATGTTAGCTGGAAAATATAGCATTGTTATTTGAACGTAATCACAATATCAATAAACAAAACACAATAATTACATCATTATCACTAGATTGTGACATATTATAGATTTCTCCCAAACATGTCAAAACTAGGAGGCAATAAAGCAATTTAAACAGAATCTCATATGATATTGCAAGGGCACTCTAACTTCTTAGAGCAGCAAAAGGGAGAAGATGTGGGAAAGCTGAGTAGCCTAATGTTTTTGCACCGAAAAAACCAACTAAAAAAAAAGTTTCAATGTAAGGGGCTTGGATCTTAAGTAGTTAAGAGCATTTATCCATGCACCCGAAAATCTTAGGTTCGATTCCCCTATCTCAATAAATAATTTACTGAGTGAGTCAGTTTGACTCACCCCCTCTACGTTGACTAGTTAGGAGGAAGGCCACTGCTCTGCCAGTTGTGTAAATAAATTGTGTGTGGATGGACAATTGAGGCATAATAATTAAAAGAATTATTATTATTATTATTATTGCTGGGTCTAAATAATTATAAATGCAAGAAAATGACGGGTCATCCTCTCGCTGTTACAAACTCTGTCGGGCCTCTGCTTCGCGGGCGGTCCCCGCCCCGCCTCCTATGGACAGAATCTAATATCAACTTTACGGCCCAACGGAAACCAAAAGTATTCATTCTAAACAATTTTTTTTTTTTTTTTCCTTTCATGTGATTAAAAGATAGGCCAATCAATGTTATAAACAAGCATCATCGAGGAGGCTGATTTTGTTGTGGATGCGATTATGAATACGGGACATTCTCATGCTTCTTTCTTGGACTCAAAATTACATGTTCCTACTTAAATTTGGACGTATATTTTCTCAAGTTGTTGGGGGGTGTCGTTGACTATTTTATATAGTATAAACGAGAGTCTAAATTACGTAGGGGTGTCGTTGTCATTTGATTGTAATGTTTATGTTACTTTTTCTCGTAAAAAGTTGTAAGGATGAGAATGTGTTAACAAGTGAGGACTTAAGTATCATTATTGGTTTAATTTTCTTTGTTTTCGTTGTAATATGCGTAAGGAATCAACCTCCATTTACTAAATTAGGTGGCTGATACACAATATTTGCAAGGAATATGAATAATCATGAGATATACTTTGGATAGCTCACTAGATTCGAAGAATATTACTGAAGTAAGAAATGGAGGATGCCAACGTCCAAATTTTGTCCAAATTAAAAGTAGATGATGACTTATTCACGAAAGAATGATAAATTTTCAAATTTGGATGCCAACTTCCGAATTTTCTCCGCAAAGTTGGTCTCTGTTTCTTCGTCTTCCAATCTAATTCAATTCTAGACACCAAACACACTGTGAATCAAGTGAATCGTCACTGGTCTCCGTGACCAGCAAGACCTTTCTACTAACAAGAAGATGTTAGATGAAAATGAAATGCATGTACAATATCGATTAAAAGTGCAAAAGAGAGAAAAAAAATAGTTAAAAGGTAAAACTTTAAAAAAAACGAAAAAGGGAAAAAAATGGAGGTGGTGGTCCCCATTGTTCATTTCCTCCTTTTACCTCTCTCTCTCTCTCTCTCACACCTCAACTCAGCTCTCAACGAACAGTACAAATGGAGGTAACAAATACCCGTATAATTAAACAGGACGCCCAAAACAAGCAAAGTTGCTTTCTCTGTACTTCAAATGGTTGAGAAGTAATCTCTCTTCACAAAACCAACACTCACGCTCTCTCTCTCTCTCTCTCCCTCTCTCTCTCAGAGAGCAACACAGAAACATTTTGACCGCCATAGCTATCTCTCTCTCTCTCTATATATTTCTACTCTACCCATTTGGCCATTTTGCCCACATTGGCTTCCTGTTCCCTCTTTTCTCTCTTTCTCACTCGTTTCGCTCTCGAAATTGCACAGTTCGTTTCAAAACCTTAATCCAGTTACTGGGTTTTGCTTAATTAGCACAACCACTCTTTGTTTGAGCTCAGAATTTTGAGAAATTAGCTCAGAATTGAGCTCTGTTTTGGTTCAATTTGCCGCCCAATTTCCCAGCAACCCATGGACCCAACCGGAGCAACCGTACCCGGATCCATTTTACCAGGACCCGAGTTCGAGTCCCTCCAATTCCGAGAAGAAATCCACCGACTCATGACCTTGCCACCGGAGAACGCCAGCTCCTTCACGGCGCTTCTAGAACTTCCGCCGACCCAAGCCATGGAGCTCCTCCACCTATCGCCGGAGGCCAACTCTACTCCGACTCCGGCAGCCATCTCCGGCGAGGCGCGCGTCCAACACCCTTTCAATTCCAGCCTCAGGTTCCCTACAAAACCCGCCTTAATCGAACGCGCCGCCAAGTTCTCGATCTTTGCCGGAGAGGGCTCGCCGGAGACAAGCTCCATCCCGTCCAACTCCGGCGCGGATTTAGAGAAGGTGAAGACCGAGCCGGTCGAGACTGATTCGAACCCGAACTTATCCCAGCTGACGCTTGACGCAACCAAGAACAACCAGAGGTCCTCGGCGAAGAGAAAGGAGCGAGAGAAGAAGGTACTAGTCCGATCAATTAGGGTTTCGAGGGTTTACTTTTCCCCCTTTTTGCTGAATTTTCAAAGTGAATCACGAACTTAATTCAATCCCTCACTCTGTGAAATTCAGGTTAAGGTCTCGACGAAGAAGAGCAAGAGCGAAATCAAAGAAGACGCCGACAAGGTTCCCTATGTTCATGTTCGTGCTCGGCGTGGTCAAGCCACAGACAACCATAGCTTAGCAGAGCGAGTAATGTCTTTGATTAAACTTAAACCCATAATTAAATTTCCACTAAGTAAATATTTTCCGCTAATTAAGAAATTCAACATTACTTGTACTTTTTTTAAATTATTTTTTGGTTGGGATTTTGCAGGCGAGGAGAGAGAAGATTAATGCGAGGATGAAGCTGCTGCAGGAGCTGGTCCCAGGATGCAACAAGGTTTGATTAACTTTTGCGAGATCTTAATCTTTGGATTAATTGGTTGATTTAGATTTTGGGGATTATACAATTGAATTTATGTCTCTATTGTCTCTTGAAAAAGTGCAATTATGTTTTCAGATTATGTTCTTTAATAACGGTTTTGTCCTTGCCAACTTTTTTCACAAAAGTGCTTTGCTTTTCGACCAAGAAAAGGGCTCGCTGGCTTGTGCCAGTGGTATTTCCGTAATTTCACTGCAGTTTAATTTTTTTAATTAATAAAACTTTTTTTTCTTCTTCAATAAGTTGGAGGACAATTGGGAAAAAAGAAAGGCAGTAGTGGTGGGGGTGAGGCAGGGTGGGGGTTGTACTGGGTTTGGTGAGGAGTCCTTTTTAAAGGTTAATTTTGTCATCTAGATTTTTATTTAGTTTCTTCACAAAAAAAGAATTTCTTTTAATTTTATCAGGAAATTTCTTTTAGAAATAATTTGTACTTTTTTTTTGGGGTCAAATGACAAATGTATTTCCAAATTTTTTTATTTTTAGGTTTATATAAGCAAAATCTACTCTAAATTAATCTAATTTACGGGGAACGAGATTCGAACTAATTTACATGGAACGATATTCGAACTTGGGTCATCGCGGTGGGCTCACTGCCATGACCATATTTGCTGTATTTCCAAATTAGACTAAGGAGATATTAATTATAAAATAGCTGAGTATTGTTTTAAATGACGGATATACCCTTGTAGAGAAAGACGTTGTCATGGGGTAATGCTAGCTGGACTGAGGTTGTGGTGCTTGGAGGGAAAGAGACCCACATAAGATAGTGGGCATGTAGAATAGAATTACAGATTTAGGTATTTGTGGGTCCCATGTCATCCCATCCCGTCGGCATCTCCCATCAGCCATGGTGGGCCAGGCACAAGTTAAATGTTAAACCCTCTTCTGAGGGCGCATAGTACTATCAATCTCTAACGAGTTTGGTATCCATCCTTACTTGGATGACGGGAAAAGGAAGACAAAAGAAAACCTCCTTTAACAAACTGCCCTCACCTAACTGCGTGGAGCATGATGTATGTGTATTGATGTGAGAGTCCACTAGCAATTTCACTTGATTGAGCTCAACCAGAGATCTAAGCTTCCCAAGATTCCTTCATGCTGATGGCAAGTTTTTGGGCCTTTCTGGGATAGTATGTGAAATGACCTCAGAGTGTCTAGGAGAAAATTGTTAGAAGAAAAATCTGCCAATTACCCTTTCTTCGGACGTAGGTTGAATGAATATAAAAAAATAACTGGACTTAATTGCTACCAGCTCTCTAATTCAATTAAAGAAAATCACATTGCAATGGATCCAGTGAGCTGTACTCTGCTGGAAGCAGAGGGATGGTGATAAAATTTTATTGATGGAGGCCTAATATCAGTATAGTTAACCCCATCTTGATATTTACTTTGTGGAAAGGTCAAATCTTTCTTATAAAGAGTGTATTTTTGATTGATTGTTCTTGACAATGACATGCATCCATATTTATGACCGCCAATTGCGTCTGCATCTTGCTATGAAAATATTCAAGTTTCAAATGTCAATCCTCATGGAATTACAGGGTTCAGAAATCAAATCACTCTATTATTGTCCAGGGAAGTTGACTATTTCACTTCATCCCATTGTTCATGCAAATTCTTTGGTAGTTCAAACTGACACGATGACAATGCTTTTGAAAAATGGGAAATGTGAATCCATCACTGGATATTGGTTTGAGATTCTGATTGTACCGTTTCTTAGATATTTGACATTTTTTTAATTATAAAAAACTATTTACTCTTGTTATGTACTATCTAAGTTTGGTCTGATCTGTAAATGCTCTTTACAACGAATATAACAAAGAAAATAATAGATATCCAACTTTTCTTCATGGGTTTAAATTTTACATAAGGAGTTATATTTCAATCATGAGAGGGCTCTCCCATTTACAGAATTCGTTCCATCTTGTTGGGTTGAATATGTTGAGCAAACTTTTTCTGTTAAATGTTCTTTAACGTATACCTTGAATCATTTGAATATTTGTGTGCATCTTCTTATAAATAGATTGCTCTTCCCACTTCCAGAATCACTACCTAAAACAATTTTTCTTTGCAGATTTCAGGCACGGCACTGGTTCTGGATGAAATCATCAATCACGTGCAGTCCCTACAACGTCAAGTTGAGGTCAGACCTGCTGCACATCTCATACATCTCAAGTAATAGTTTTAGCACTGAAATGAAATGGCTTGACTTGAAGAATTTGGTTGGAGAATCCTTTATTCCTTTGTTTCTTTGAATAAAGCTTCAACTAACTGATGGGTTCTTCTTCACAAGTATGCGGGCTAGTGGAAATGTATCCAGGGATATGTGATTTAACAGTTGGATATGTCCTCTAAAATCCCTAGCTTAAAAAGATTCGCGTAAAATTGGGACTATCTGATTTGTTTCAGTGCTTTTTTCCCAGTATAGCATTTCCATTTGCCAAAGGTCTAAGAAAGTTTTACCCCCTGAAAGTCTGAAATTATTTGCCAAGTAGTTCTCCATCATTATGGATCTAGACTCTTCATCCTGTCCGTGCATACATCCATTTTGGTTTGACCTACTTTTACATGCTTTAGTTATTCCCCTCTTTTAGTTACAAAGCCGGAGAGAAGTCAAGCAATCCTAGGGAATGAAGTTATCATACTGGTTATTTCAAACTATCTTTTACTGCCATGTTCTGATTCTGGTAAAATTTCATTTGTTTCAGTTCTTATCAATGAGACTTGCGGCAGTCAACCCAAGAATTGATTTCAACCTTGATAGTATATTGGCTGCTGAAGTAAGTATCACGCAGCTCCTTTAAATACTATTCTATTTTGAAATTGAGAAGCTACTGAGGCGTCCTCGTGTTTTATCAGTGGTTCAGTATTATTTTCGGGGGTGTGGATGCATACCTGGCTGCTTAGGGGCCTGTTGCCATCATTTGCAAGTTATGCAAAAATATTAGACTTGTTAGTCGCTTCATGGTTTGACCATTAATCATATACTTAACAATGGCAGTGTAGATTAGCAAACAGTTTAATGCTGTTTTTGGGTTTGCATCATTAAAGACTGCTAGCCAAATATTAAATGACGCTATTCAGCAATCAAATGTCAGGCCAGTGGATGAGTTTTGGAGGCCCCTATTTCTGTCTACTACCTGGCTACTTTTATTTATTTATTTGGAATGGTTTTTAGATTATGATAGATAATTGTCAGTTACCGTCAGCAACCAGGCAATCTAAAGGTTGTTTACATTTAGTGGGACCACTGCAATTGGGGGTCCATGAATGAGTTTTTTTTCCTTCTTCTTGTTCTCTTTGTTTGAAGTAGAATTGTGGTAATTGATAGGCTACACTACTTCATGGAGCAAGTTCTACCCTTAAGTTAGTGTCATATTGATTGCATATTACTGATATATTTGGCTATCCTCCACAACTTTCAGAGTGGATCTCTAATGGAAGCTAACTTCGCCAATATGGTTACACCTCTGATGTGGCCAGAAGTCCAAATCAATGGAAACAGACAACCGTATCATCAGCAATGGCACTTTGATACTCATCAGCCTGGTTGGGGGAGGGAAGAAGAAACTCATACTTTCATTACTCCAGAGATCTCCCTTATCAGTTGTGATTCTTCAGCAAATTCAGGTAGACCGATATGAGTCTTATTGTTCACGCATCTCCTTTTGTGTCTCCAAAACCCTTGGCCATTGGCAGAGTGCTTTTCATATCTCATTTCAGGCCAACTTTTCAATTGATACAAGAATTTGATATAGTGTGCTATCCTCACACTCGAAGCCGTCATATTGTTGATGAAAAATATACATGAGGTGCAATTTGTTTCTTTTCTTAGCAGAAAAGTAACATGGAATAATGCGATTTAACTTTTTCATTTCATCATTGTTGTGCAGCAACTCTGCAGACAAGTCATTTGAAGATGGAGATGTGAAGACGACGTAATTAAGTTCTGCTGGTAGAAGTGTATATATCAAGTATAGTGTTTTAGCAGTTAGCAGGAAGGAGAGGAAATGCCTCGGTATTCATGGCGCGTTTCTTTGGTCTCTATTTTTCAGGGTCAGTTATGAATCCTGATTTCCCTCTGTCTAGAGAGGGAAATGGGTTTATGTTATCCTTATGAAATATATATATATACTAACTTTGAGGGTCATTCAATCTAATACTTATTTTTTGAACTGTTTGATTGGTTCCTATTGTAAAATCATTGAATGAACCATTGCTTAACAACTGTTATTGGAAGACTTCTTTGTTCAGTCTCAGTGTGTGCACCATCAAGTTCTCTGCACTTTTTTTCTTTTTAAGACATAACGAGGGCTGAAACAAAGCTTAATATGGTTCTGAAAGTGCTTCCTTACTCTTTCATAATTCCTGTACCGATTACAGAATGGGGAATGAATGAGCTGTGCTAGCTTAAGTAATGTATGGGCATGCGATGATGCTATCACAGCCGCTGGATCTTCGCTATAGGATCTGCAATCATCAACAGCTGAGCTAAGGCCGCGTGCCTTGTGCGCGACTAACGCTAACAACTCGAGCCTTTGATTAGCAGTTGCAGATTGCCTATATGCACTTGTTCTATTCTATACAGTTATAGGGAAAGCAATTGTGTTGTTGACAGACATGCTGCAATGGGCACCCAAATGAGTTTGGGAGATCCAAGCAATAGGAATTCACTATTTAAATACTTCCTCAGGGTTTCTGGACCCAGAGCTAGAGTAATGTAGTTTTGTTCGCCCTCCCTTGTAAAAGAAGAAAAGTACGCAACGCAAGAGGATGGTATTGAGATCCCAAGGAAGCCAAATGGACAAGTGGATGGATCTATGTAGATTTCTGGTCTAGAGTCATTTGATGTAGTTTCCCAAAATATGTAATGTAGCTAAATAGTATGTTTTTTTTTATTTCTACAAAGCGTTTTCAATGTATCAAATTAGATTCAATAATGCCATAAAATTATATTGGCACATTAGTCTAATGTGGGAGGAGGCTCGAACTCGGATGTAAGGGACATACACACTGATTTGACCAACTGACCTAATTAATATATGCAATTGACCTATTTCATTAGCCCCAAATTATTTTGAATTCCACCGAATTCTATATAATACACTATCAATAATTTGTAATAAATTTAAAATGTGAGGTTGTTAAGTTGATTAGAGTACTGTGTTCATTTTCTTGCACGTGAGTTCGATCCCTTCAATTAGAGTGTATGTCACGTAAAGAAAAGGGTTGAAAAATCCGCACTTAAAAGTGAATCCAAGGAGAATTATAGAAGGGGGAGTTTCCCAATTTAAAATTTTCCATTTGTTTCATTGCATTGCAGTATAAAATCAAACAGAGTAACTGAATTTTGACTCCAGAGCAATTCCAAATGGCCACTGCTCCACCACCTCCTCCTTCATCCCTCATCCAATCAATCGCAGTCCCACTCCTCTTCTTCCTCTTCCTACTTCCTCCCCTCCAATCCAATCCCGCCACGTCACCCACCATCCAACTCCCTCACACCCTCTCCGCCACCACCATCTCCGTCGTCGACTTCGGCGCCACCGGAGACGGCGTCCACTACGACACCTCCGCCATCCAATCTGCCATCGACAGCTGCCCCGCCCTCTCCCCCTGCCACGTCACCTTCCCTCCGGGGCGCACCTACCTGACCGCCACGATCCGCCTCAAATCCGGAGTCGTTTTGGACATCCAGGAAGGCGCGACGCTCCTGGGCGGCCCGAGACTCGAGGACTACCCGAAAGAGCAGAACAAGTGGTGCGTGGTGTTGGCGGAGAACGCGAGCGACGTCGGAATCAGCGGCGGTGGAGTGGTGGACGGTCAGGGCTTGAAGTTCGTGACGCGGTTCGATGAGAGGAAGAATGTGATGGTGAGCTGGAACTGGACCGGCGCTTGCTTGGGTGACGAGTGCCGGCCCAGGCTTGTCGGCTTCATCAACTGCCGAAATGTCAACCTCTCCAATCTCAGGTTGCGTCAGCCGGCTTACTGGTGGTGCGCATTCTAATTTTCCCAATATAATATAATATAATATATTTTCATTTTCATGTATGGATATGGATAAATTGTCATTATTTTATGGTTCAAATATTGTGAGTTGGGTTCACTGACTTTTTTAAGCTTATCTGCAACATCTAATTTCACTGAAAAAAGAATTTACAAATGTATAAGGTTTATGAACCATAAAAATATCCACTTATATCATAACACGTGGACATACTCCAATACTACACCAATACTCTTGACTAACAACTATGCCAAATTGTTGCTTTCATTTGATTAATGAAGATAGGTCAACATTGTCTGCCAGAAAATTCTGTTAAATACTCTAGATATTTTTATTTTGGTAGAAATACTGTAGGATTTTTATTTTTATTTATTTATTTATTTTTTATTTTACAAATTATATTGCATTTGTGTGTGTGTGTGTTTTTTTTTTTCACAAATTATATTGCGTTTGGTTCCTACTTTAAATGACCCCAACTTTTGCTAGTTTTAAAACAAAGACATGCTAGGAAGACCACGTTTATAGATTACCTTGTATAGCACCTCTCTAATAGAAGTGGAGAGGTGGTACACAAGGTGGTTTATAAATGTGGTCTCCCTAGCATTTTCCTTTGAAGTATGCTTCTACAACATCACTTGAATTCCTCTTTCTCCTCTTCCAAACATTAAATTGTAACCGATCTCAAAGAAACAAATAAAAAAAGTATATTGCCCACAATTGGTTTCGTTACAAGTACAAGTATAATAATATATTTTTTTAATAGAAACAAATTGTATTAAAAGAGGGACAAAATACAAAAGTGGATAAGAAATCCACAGCAGGCAGAGAACAAAAACAACCCAGCTCCCACAAACCAAAAGGACAACCAAGAACAACCCTAAGCTCTCAAACCAGATAAATCCCGCTCCCTAGACAACCACAACTAAAACCTCAATGATTTGGTCGTTTTGGAACATCGACACCCACTTTTCTAACCACAAGTACAAGTATAATTCACTATAGTATATAAACAAACATTCTGTGCCTATCATTATATACACACTTTAAAAAGATTAGCTATATCTAACTGGTATTATTTTTCTTCTTGCATAAGTTATATCATTTGACTATTGTATTTCTTTAACTTGTATAACTTTCAACTCTAGCCATGCATCTGATGTAAACATTGCATAATTGCAGCTTGCACATTGTGCAGTGTGAGAACGTACTGATTCAAGATGTTTCGATTTATGGAGACTTTAACACACCCAATAATGATGGAATAGATATTGAGGATTCGAATAACACAGTCATTACCAGATGCCATATCGATACTGGAGATGATGCTATCTGTCCAAAGACATACACTGGCCCCCTCTATAACTTAACTGTAACAAATTCTTGGATTCGAACAAAGTCTTCTGCAATCAAACTTGGTAGTGCTAGTTGGTTTGATTTCAAGGGTCTTGTGTTCGACAACATCACTATTGTAGATTCTCATAGAGGCCTGGGATTCCAAATCCGCGATGGAGGTAATAATTTTGTTTAGCTTTTCTTGCGTTATATTTATGTCCATTGCTTGTGCAGAAGAAGAAAAAAAATGGCATCCCGTTATTATATGATAAACTGCTTATCAAAGTTACAGATGAGATAGCTTGAAACCAAGCTAGAAATTTGAATGTAAAAGTTCCAGACTAATCTCTTCGGACTGGCTTGTGTTTAGCAAACCTCTTCTTTCTGTGGCTTGTATGATGTCTGTCTTCAGAGTTCAGACTAAAGATTTACAGGTTGAAAAGTTGAAAACGACTAAGAAATTGGTTCAACTAAGTAGCAGCTGGACTTGGTGACGTCAAACATTAGAAATTTTCATTGCTTGCTAGCTCTCATAAATATCTGTGTCATGAGATTACTGACAATGATTCACCTTGTGCAGGAAATGTGAGTGACATTACCTTCTCAAACATAAACATCAGCACACGATACTATGACCCGTCCTGGTGGGGAAGAGCAGAGCCTATCTACGTGACTACTTGTCCTCGACACTCAAATTCAAAGGAGGGTTCAATCTCTAACCTACTCTTCGTCAACATCACTTCAACTTCTGAGAATGGTGTATTCTTATCAGGCTCTAAAAGGGGGCTTCTTAGTGATTTGAGATTCATTAACTTGAATCTGACTTACAGAAGATGGACCAATGACGCTGGTGGGTTGGTAGACTACAGACCAGGATGCCAGGGACTGGTTAATCACAGCACAGCCGGCATCATCATGGAACACATTGATGGCTTGGTGATTGACAACGTTAACATGAGATGGTCTGATGACCCGTTAAGGCAGTGGAATGATCCTCTGGATTTCAGGTCTTCAACTGTAAATAACATATCTCTGCTTCATTTCCGTTCAAGCTTGTACAGCCAGTGAAAGAGGGGGAGAGAGAGAGATTAGGAAGAACCATTGGATAATGTCATTCTTTTGATTGTACATTTGGGATGGATTCGAAATTTTGTGGTGAAAGGCTGGCCGCATGTTATCATTTCAAGTGTATGTGTATCACAGCATGTAAGAATGCAGGTCATTGTGAATAAAGAATACAGTATGGTTCAAACTTTTATGAGATTGAAGGCATGAAATTTGTTGTAATTACTGCTCTCTTGAGAGTATGGCTCATTCCTTACACTCACAAAAAACCTCTTCTTTTGGCAATTTGACATTGTCCAAACCCATCTTATGTTTTTTAGAATGCGATATTCTAAACTACTCTAATGTATAAGGAGCTAGATCTAACTCACGGGCAAGAGGACGGACGTATCGAGTATTAGGTGGGCCCACTCTGAGTTGTGAAAAGTCTTAAATTTTTCTTTTTATTTCTTTGGTAAATATAAAAGCTAAAAAGACGATTATGCTTCTCTCAGGTCAGGCCTAACACATAAATAGAAGAACCACAAACCTCTTCAATTTGGACCTTGAAGCTCTTCAAGCAGTCCAAACAATTTTGAAGGTTAATGATAGAGGTGCTGGTCTCTTAAAATTGATATGATCCGAAAATTAAGCTTATTTTATGATGCTAATCAAGTAATTTCCTCCATGTCCAACCAATTTGCC